AGAGTGGGCCATAGCAGCTTTGGCGAGGAGGGTTTGTTATTCTAAAGTGGCTGGGGGCACAAGGCATGGAGGCTCGGGAGGCTGTGAGCAGCGCCAGGCTTGGGAATTCAGGGTGAATGGGAGGGAGGCAGAAATCAGGGCGAGGCTTTTCCATCCCTGTGCACGGGGACTCAGAGGCCCCACTTACCACCCTCTACTGTCATGGCCAGTTGGGATATCTGCCTCTGAAATGAGCTCCGAAGAGGTGGAAACCAAGCCCAATTAATCCACCAACCCCAGATCCCTGCAGAGAATCCGCAGAAAGTAAATGTTTGTTGAATGAATGAATAAGTGGAGCTTCCCTATATCTGTTGGAAGCACCAAGAATGCTCATGAAGAAGCACATATTATTTTGAAGTTCCAGTTATGGGAACCTGGTCTGGAGCCAGACATCATGTCAAAGCCCAGCTCTGCCCTTTACAACCCATGTGGCCTTGGGCCCCGTCTGCTTCTTTGGTTTCCCGTCTGTGAATCAGGACACCCTCTCTGCTGGCTGTCTCCCAGGGAGAGCGGAGGGAGGCCCCACTGGGCAGTGGGCAGTTAGGAGGATGGGTTCCAAGGCTGGCCTGCCCAAGCCAAGTGCGCATCCCATCCCTCTCCAGCTCTGTCACCTTGGGTGAGTTGCTGTGTCTTTACTGTGTCTTTGCTGTCGGGTTGGGGTTCTTTAATCTATTAGTTGGAGCTAATATCAGACTTCCCTCAGAGTTGCTGCGAAATAAATTAATATGACCTTAGAAGATGCCTGACACAGAGTAAGTGCTCAAGAAACATGGCGACCGTAGTGATGAACAGATGAGGACCTCTTTATGAGTTGCAAAGGATGGCTAGGAGGCGGGAGGTGTGGGGAAAGGGCATGTGACTCGGTCACAGACAGTCAGCAGTCCACCTTCCAAAACAGTTCCTAAAAATCTGCTCTCCAGCAGTGACCGGTGAACAAAGAGGTCAGCTTCCTGCACTTACCAAGCTCTCGGTCTACACAGGCAGGGAATGGGGAATCACCAGAATCGGACACTTCACGGGATAAGTGCCAAGACCGGGACGGGGGGTGGGGGGGGTGGGGCAGGTGTCTGTGGGAGGCACCAAACCTGACCTGAGGGTCATGGGAGTCCAGAATGATAGGCTTGGGTTTCTGGCCAAACCCCACCACACTGCATGTGCCACACTGGGAATGATCTACTCTCACTTTTCTGTATGCAACATGCTAATAAAAAATACCCTGTGGCTATTTCTGGCTGTTTCGAGAGGCTCCAAAAGGAAGACAGGTGTGGTAAAGTGTGTGGGATGAACCTGGGCTGTGCCAGTGAACATCCAGAAATCCAGCCCCAATCTGTGGCACCGCAGAGGGTCCTAGGCTGGGCGTCAGACTTGGCTTTGAGTCTGCTCTGCCCCCAGCTTTCCTGTGTGGGCTTGGGTGAGCTCTCTCTTGCCTACTTTGGGCCCCTGTCTCCTTTCATCTTCTACATGATGAGGGCACAGGATGAGATCAGTGCTTCTCAAAATGGGCTCCTGGAGACCCATGGGTCTCCACAAAGAAGCCATGAGAACCTCTGCTGCATGAGGGCATTGAGCCTGTAGGTCTTCAGGCTCTAGCCGGTCTCCTCACATCAACTGGGGAAAGTTCCACTTTTATCTACTCCACATACTGAGTTCCAAGTAAAGTTCCTTTGGAAAACAATAACAATAAAAAAGGATTCTATGGCCAAAAAAGGTTTAAAAAACCCCTGGGCCAGATGACCTACAGGGGCCCTTCCAGCTCCGATCTGGGAAGGTTCAAGTCTGAGTATTTTCTTCCAAGTTTTATTTAGCAAGCATTCCTCCAGCTCTCACTACACGCCAGGACTGTTCTTAGCACCCTGCAGATTGTAATGTGCTTAACTCACCGGAACACCTCCTTGCTCCACGAAAGCCACAGGACTGCGGAAGTGACTCCATGGGTCTAGGGAGGCCCAGGGGAGCAATTTCCCCTCCAGCCAGGTCTTCTGGGCACCTGAACGGATGACCTCAACCCCAGGCCAGGTGGTGCTGCCTCTGAGGAGCAGCAGGTGTATGCCGGGGCGGGCGTGGTCAAGGGAAGCCTGCATACCCCAGCCCCCCAGGGAAGTAGAGCGCTCCAGCCTGATGTGGATACTTGCACACGAGGCCTGTTCCGTGTGGAAGGAAGTGCCTGTTGGCTTAGTGACGTGCACAGCAACAGGGCCATGGCCTCCTGTGATTCATCCCAGCCACCAGGCTGCCGTTGACACCCTGCACCAGGTGGCCGCAGATTGAATTTCAGGGTGCTCGCCAGAGCCTGGAGAAGGCCCAGAGGTGGGGTCTGACCTCATCCCCAGCCAGCTCATTAGGGGGAGCGGCCTGGGCCACTGCACCCCAGCGCTATCCGGCTCTCCACCTGCCAGAGACAAAAGTGGGAGGGGACGGGCAGAGGTGATCTCAAGCACGCTTGGCCCCATTGCCCACATCAGCACGTTGTGTACCTTATTACGTGAGCTTTTCTGTTCAGATTGTGTGTTCTGGAATGAGGTGGCTGGCGTCACAGGTGGGAGCTTCTGCCACATGATAGCATCATGCCCCAAATGCAGACAGAGTGCCAAAGGTCTAGGGTCTAGTCTGAGGGGCTTACTGAGTAGCTTTGAAACAGGAGGTGACTGACCCCAGCAGGTGGCACTAGGTGGCACTAAGGCGGTAGGCAAAGAGTAGAGCGACATCCTCTCGTTGCCAGCCCCGTGCTGAGAGCTGCAGACACAAAACGAATAAAACGTAAGTCCTATCTTCGAGAAGCTCAGAGCCTAATGGGAGAGCCAGGTAGCTAACAGCAGGCACCATCTCATGTTCGCGCCGGGGTGGGGGACACAGAAGCATGGCGGGTCGCTTGTCCATCACCACGGTGCCGGGCAGCACCAGCACTGAGCGTCTGCTCAGGTGTCTGCACCCAGTGGCAGGTGGGCCCTGCTGGGCTCAGCTGGCCCTTACTCGTATTGTCCGGGAGCTGGCTGTCTGTTGGCTGGACTGGGATGGCCTCGGTGGGACAACTGAGGCAATTCGGCCCTGCCCACCCTCCAGTGGGCTAGCATGGGCCATCCTCCAGTGGGCTAGCATGGGCCATCCTCCAGTGGGCTAGCATGGGCCACTGTCAGGGCCGTGGAGGCATAAGAGGCAGTGGCAGCCTGCTTTTCAGGCCTCTGTACGTCCTGGTGACCTATATCCAGAGACACAAAATCAGCATGGGAGGGAGCCGAAGAGCTCCATGGCCAAGGGCATGAATACGCGGACAGGTTAAGGTTTGGAGCCACTACTCTGTCAGTCTGCCACGCAAGGAGGCTGTGGGGGCCTCCGGGAGGGGCCTGACTCAGCCCCCAGGTGGTCAGAGAAGCTTCCTGGGGAAGACATTTGAGCAGAGCCTGGAAGGCCAAGTCTAGATTTGCAAGTGGAGAGCAGAGGCAGGAGGTTGTCATGCGCAGAGAAGAGCATATAAGAAGCGTGGAGACAGAAGAGTGCTGAGGAGTTGGGTGTTTGGAGTCACGAGGACTGAGTAGGAAGCAAGGTCATCGACCACAGCAGGGTCCAGGCCACTGCCTTGCAGGCTCTACTGAACAGCTAGGCCTTTACTCTGAGGGTAGGAGGCACCTGTGAAAGTTTTGAGGAAAAAAAAAAAGAGAGGGAAGACAATCAGATTTGTGCTTTCAAAAGGTGCCTGTGGCAGACAACTACGGGATGGGGGGAGGAAAGGGGGTCTGCAGGGAGGGGGACGGGTTGCACTGGGCCCAGTGGGAGATGCTCAGGACTGAGCTGGTGTGAGGTGGGAGGCCGGGGACTGTGGCCCAGGGTGGCAAACAGATGATGGGCAAAGAGCTTGCTCGAGGCCTGAAGAGTGGAGGGCCAGCTGGGGCTGGGCAACAGCAAGGACAGAGGACTTGAGACAGCCTCTGGACCTTCTGCCCAGGAACTGCAGCAGCTTTTCCCTGCACCTGTGCTAAAGAACCCAAATCATGGTCAGACTCCCCCATTTTGTTGGCCAGGGGGGTCTGGGATACACCGTCACATGAAGCTAGCTGTGCAGAATCGAACAAGTCCCTTCCCCTCATGGGCCTCAGGTTCTCCATCTAAAATGGGACATCTGAGATCATCTCTCAGGGCCCCCAAACCTTGGGCAGGCCATGTTCCATCAGAGTGTGGTCCTCATGGCAGAAGCAAGCAGACCTCTAATGTCAGTCCCAGGGAGCCTGTTAAAAATACACATCCTGGGCTCCCCCTCGGAGATGCCAATTCTGGGCATGGGGACCAGACAGCTGATATTTTTGTATGATGCTCCACGTGATCCTGATGCCAGGCCGGTCTGGTTAGGGGGCAGCTGTGTTCCCAGGGCCCCGCATAGCGGCCCAGAGTGCAAAGGAGCTTTAGGAAATGTGCTGAGTGCCAGCATGGGTCTGATTCAGAGAGGCCCAGCCCCTTGGGCCTTTGCCTGTAGGTAAGGTGACTTCTGGAGGAAGTGTCCTTTGGGTGGGGCCTTGAAATCTAAGTGGGTTTTCTGTTTGTTTTGCTCGTGTGTTTGTCTTGCTTTGTTTGCCGTGCTCTTGATTACAAAATTAGTCTGTGCTCATTCTAGAACTTTCCTAAGCACAGGAATAAGAAAAATTTAGTCAAAAGACAAACGCACCCATCATTCCAAACCCAGACACAACTAGGTTCTCATTTTGCCCCTTCCTTAGATAAGATGTTGATAGCCAGAGCAGAAGTGGGGACCCATGTGGGCAAAGGGCTGGAGATGAGAACAGGCTGAACGTGTCCGGAGGCCAGTGGAAGAGTTCAGCCTGCGCCAGCCGGTGCCAGGCCCCACACACCTTCTCTGTTTCAGGGCCTGTTGCCCCAAAGTCCAGAGCGAGGAGGGCCGGGACTGGAGGTGTCAGGGCCCCCAGCCTGATCTAGAATTACAGCCTTTATTCCTCTCTCTTTCCTCTGTGCAGGTGCTGTTTGCCCTGAACCAGACTCTGCTGCAGCATGAGAGCGTGCGGGCAGGGAGCCTGCAGGCGCCCTACACCACGGAGGACCTCATCAAGCACTACAACTGCGGGGATCTCAACGCTGTCATCTTCAACCATGACACATCCCAGGTGAGGCTCCCCTCCTCCCACCCAGTTCTGAACCCACCTAGCCTTTGTTAGACACCTACTATGTGTCTGGTGCAGGCAATCATCTCTCTGCCATGGGAAGCAGGACCTATTGGTATTCCATTTTACAGATGGGAAAACTGAGGCCCAAAGAGGCAAAGAGACTTGCCCAAGCCCACAGCGCTTAATTGTCGAGTTCCCAAGTTATCAAAAGCACCACTCAAGTCTGGCGTGTGTGGTAGAAGCTTAGCCTTGTAAGAGCAGGGAGGCCTCTGAGAAGTTCAGTTCAGTATCTGGGGAAATTAGAGGCCAGAGGAAACATGTTCACAGTTAGACCTCGGGCTTGAGTCCAGCTGGGGGCGTTCTGCCTTGAGTCAAGTCCCAGAGGAAAGACTACCCACAAGTGGGCAGAGAGTGAGGAGCACCCCGAGGAGCTGAGCATGACTCCACCAGGCATCCACATTGCCCTCGGGATAAATTCCAAGTTACTCTGTCTAACACTTGAGGCCTTCTGTGTCCTGCCCTCTGCTGACCTTGTCCCAGCCCAGGTGCCCTACCCCGCAGACCTTGTTCTGCTGACCTATGCCCCACGCCATCCGCCTGCTGATGCCACTATGCCTCCGTTCAGGCTCCTCCTTCTTCCTTTCCTCCTGCTGGGCCATGGTCCATTGTTACTTCCTCTGAAAAGCCCTCCCTGACCCTCTGGATGGTGTTAGATATTCTCCCAGACCCCTCTAGGACCCCTGTGCCTTCTGTCATGGTGCTTGGTTAACCACTCGTTCAAGAGCAGTTCCTTGCTGTGGCTCCCCATTTTTCTCAGTGTAAAAGCCAGAGTCTCTGTAATGACCTGTGTGGGCCCCGAGTCTTCCCCTAACCCCCACCCCATGTTCTCTGCCGTCCCCTCACACTCACCCCTCAAGCTCTGTGGGCCTCCATGCTATTCCATGGGACCCCTTGGCATGCTTCACCTTTGCCCTTCCCCAAGTATCACCATGACTCACCCCCCATCTTTACTCAGACATCATCGTCTCAGTGAGCTGGGCCCCAACTCCTGATCTAGAATTGCAGAATGAAGCCTGCTTCCACACTCTCAACCTCTTTATTATGCTCCATTTAACCCCCATGGTCTTTATCATCTTCTCACATACTTACATATTTTGATTCATTGATAAGTGAATATTTATTGTTTGTCCTCCCCACTAGAGCAGAAGCTCCCTGAGGACAGGGATTTGCATCTGTTTGATCCATCAGTATATTCTCATTGGCTAGGCCAGTGCCTGGCACAGAGCAGGACTCAGCAAATAGCTGCTGAATGAATGAATGAAATTGGTTGTAAATACCGGGCCCAGTGCCCAGTGTAAATACCGGGCAGCCACCTCAGTGGGGCGGACGGGAGAGAAGGGGACATTCCGTAAGCAATAGCACCCAAGTGTGATCCTTGCTCCAAGGGAGAGTAGAGGGTACAGCTGAGGCCTGGGGCAGGAGCAAGAGTTTAGGTGGACTCAGGGCAAGAAGGAAGGATGCCTGCAAGGTGAGAGGTCAGGGAAGAACCTAACCTGGCCACGGACAGGAGGAAGCAGAAGGTTCCAGCAGAGGCAAGAGAGAGCAGGAGGAGGGGTGTGAGTTTGGGCTGGAGGTGTAGCTGGGGACCGGGCTGAGAGGTTCTGTGTGCGCGTGCCACCGTCTAGAGCCAGAACTCCCTGAGGCAAGAGTGTGCCATGCCTCCCTCCGTCCCCAGGCCCAGGGCAGGGCCGCAGAGCGTGTGTCGGGGAACAGCTGTCCGGGGAGCGAAGGTGAGGGTGTGTTGTGCTCCGGGCAGTGGAGGCCATGAAAGGAAGGATCCAGAGACCCTGCAGAGGAGGCTCAAGACTCTGAGAGCCCCGATTCCAATCTGTAGGTCTGAGAGCTTCTGTGCCGGAGGCCGCCCTGTGTCATCCGCCTGGAGAGAGCCTGGTGAGCTCTGTGGCTGCAGGAACCTGGTCAGCACTCAGGGCAGCCTGGGCGCGCAGTAGCTGGGCTGGGGGCAGGGGTGGACAGGGCCCTGCTGCGGCCGCGGCTGGCACGGAGCTGTGAGAGGGAGGGGGGGGTGACCTCAGGCAATAGCAAGCTCAGATTTACTTCGAACCTGTGTCCAGATCCACTGATTTGTCTCTGGCAGGTGAACTGCACTGGGGGTCCCCTGGCGGTGCCCGTCCTTGAAGCGGGACAGAGGGTGTAGTTGGATCGGTGCACCCAGTTAGGACAGCAAACTGGGCGGCACTCCCCTGGACCCCCTGGGTACACAGGCAGAGTCTAGCCCCCAAGGGAGGAACTAGGCAGCCCTGCCCCGAGACACGGAAAAGCCTAGAGTCGGGGTAGCAAGGCTAAATCCAGGGCCATGCGCTGATGGAGAAAGGGTCCAGGTGACATGGGGCTGCCTCTGTAGCGAGAGGCCTCGAAAGCTGTGGGGAGCTGAGAACACACAGCCTGTAGGGGTACAGTCACCGCCCGTAGGCAGGGAGGAAATGGTGGTGGAACTAGGCCTGAGAAAGGAGTCTACCGGGCAGGGCCGAAGGGAGGGGCTGGCTGCCTGGTTGAGGGGGGGAGGGGGATGTGGATGGTCCTGAGGAATGATCTGCAGAGCAGGGGGCAGATCATAGGGGGTGGGGGTGAAAATGTCTGCTGAGGGGCAGAAGCCCTGGAGTTCAAGCGGGAGAGGGATGTGGTCAGAAAGATGTCTCTGGCCACAGCAGAGGATGATGCAGTGGCCTCTAGAGGCTGGGGTTGACAGGTGCAGGGGCCAGGATGGGGGACAGGGGCTGGCTGCACCTCTGTCTTGATCTCTCTCGCCTTCCTACCCCGCCATTTCACCTTCAGAAATGGCTCATGCCCCAACCTCCCAAAGCTCCCGGGTCACTTGCACCATCAATGCCCCACGATCACAGGGTGACCCAAAGGAAGCGTTGTCTGAGCCCTTCAGCCTGTGTTAGGTGGAGAGCAGCCATATGCTTATCATCTGTCCCCAGACACTTTGGAAAGTGAAAGGTCAAATATAATTAAGGGTCAGAAAAATTAACGGGCATGGGGCAGTCTACCGTAGCCATGAAACTGGACCATCCTGGACAAAGCAGAACACACGGTTATCTGTGAGGTACCTCCTCCACACGCCCTTGGTGGGGTCAAAGCATGGACCCCACAGTGACTCCCTCACTGGGCTGTGAGCCTCATCCAGGGCAGCAGACCCAGTGTGAGGGTGCTCTGTGACCCCTCGCCTGACACAGGGCTACACTCATGGAAGTTTGTAGAAGTTGTCTGTTGGATGGATGGGCTGAAGAGAAGGGATGAGGCCACCGAGGTCAGGGACGGCAGTAGACCCGAGCATTTGACCACCAGATCTGACCCTGTCCTGGCTGTGGGCCAGGGGAGCCTACACTGAGGTCACCCCCCGCGGCCCCACCCTAGCCTCGCCTGGCCCATCTATCTCATCGTCGTACCTCGGACTCATGGCTCTAGGACCCCAGGGACCTGACATGTCCTCTTTCAAATTCTATGGTGCATCCTGCACTTAAACTTGTTGTGGGAGATTTAAGGCTCCTGACAAGTCTAATGACATCATTAATTTGTTTCCATCCCAGCCTGGGCCCAAACCCAAGTCCCATCCTTGGCATGGAGCCAGGGCCCATCAGCATGAAACACGCAGAGAATGTCAGCCAGCTGCCGGGCAGTCCCAGAAACCCCAGTGGCTAGCCAAACTGCTTCGTGGCTTTGACATTGAACTTTCTGGGTTTTGTCCTTGTTAAATTTTTTTAGCTCCCTAAGGAATGAATCGAGATTCATCTTTCCACAAATGCACATTCATGGTGAGGAAGAGCCTCTGCCAGGACCCTTGGCAGAAGGGAAGGAAAACAGGATGCTTCCTTCATGGCTCTCTGGTGGTTCTGAGGGCTTCTATTTGTCATCTCTGTCTCTACCCCCTGCTCAAGGTCACCCTTCACTGTAGCCTCTGCCATTGTAGGGGAAAATGATGAAGCCAGCTCCATCCCCCAGGCTAGTTGTACAGGGCTGACATTTAGTCAAGACTTTCTTTGTGCTCTGCACTGTGCTAATAAGCACTTTCCAAAACTGATCTTATTTAATTCCTACAACAACATATATTACTCCCATGTTACCAATTTGGACACGGAGTCTCAAATAGCACAAATAACTTGCCAGTTAGAGAGAGGCAACCCAACTGGTAAGTGGCAAAAGAAGGATTCCATCCCAAGTTACCCTGGCTGTCTGAAGCCAGGACCTGCCTTCATAGCCACCTGTTGCCTCTCAGCTCATTCCTTCATGCATTCATTCACTGATGGAACAAATGTTTATTTCTTGGTACAACATCCTCCCACATTCTCTGCCATACCTGAGGAACAGAGAGGGCCATGCCTCCAGAAATAACCCTTTTGAGCCACAACTCCTCCCCCATTCAGAAGCCCTTCCTGGAGCTGTATCATGTCCAAACGTGTCCTGCTTTGTCAGGTCTGCCAATCATCCCTTCCATCATTGGTGGGAGGGGTAAGAGCTCCATTCCTTTGTTTATCCATTCGCCAAACACCGACTCTGGTTGGGCACCAATCTCTGATTGGGCCTCTGGCAGGGCTGCTGCGTACAGCTACGCAGGTTGTGCACTGAGTAAGTTTAGGTTTTATCAGTCATATCATTGCCTTGTCATCCCAGAACAGTGAATCAGGCCTTTATGGCAGAGAAGCCCCTCCCCTCCCACTCTGGGGAGCACCCTGGTGCTTGGCCAGTAGATATCAGAGACAGATGTCCTGGCCCTGTCCAAATCCTTGAAGGCTCAGCCTCTGCTGACGTCTCCATTTTCCTCAGAAAGAGTGTTGACAACTTGTCAGTGGCTCTAAAAGCCATGTGGCTGGGCCCCATGACCCTTGGGGGCTAAGCCCTGCAGGACTTCAGTCTCCTCATGCCAACTCTCCACCTAGCTAGCCCATCAGTCAGTGAGGCCTCGTGTTCTGTGCATTAGCCTGAGTTGATGAAGAGAGAAGGGGAAGAGGAGACTCCAGATGGAAGACATCCTGTGCACAAGAGCTTGGAAGGTGGAATGACAGTGAGCGGTTATGGGGAAATAGAGAGGATGTTCTGACTCAGGCCCCCATCTCCTCCGTGGCTCGTGGCTTCTTCTCAGGCCCCGCCCACCCTTGGAGGCCACGGTGCTGGGACACCTGGACCTGACATCCAGGCCGGAAAGACAAAATGCTGGGTATGGAGGAACCCAGGAAGAGGAAATGCAATGAGGGGGGACAGTGCGATTTTATGTTTAAGGTTCCAGAAACCTTTCCGGGCACCTACTGTGTGTCAGGCACTGGGGGCCCAGGAATGACAAGGGCTCTGTCCCTGGACTCAAAGAGCTCTCTGCCTAGTTCAATAACATGTCAGAGACACTTGCCCCCGGCCACAGACCTGGGTGTGGACAATGGGCCCAGAGCTGAGAAATGTGGAAAGTTCCAAGCCAGGTTGTGGAATGAACCATCATTATGGGAGGCAGCTGTGGTCCTGCAGTTGACGTTTTTAAGAAGGGCTGGAGGGGTTTGGTTCTGCCCTGGGAAGTAGTGGACCTGGGAATGGGGAGATGGTGGCAGCCAGCCAGGGCTCAGGCCGTGGGCAAACTGGAGGCTGTGACCTCTCCTGTCTTCTCTGTAGGGTGGGCTGGGCTGAACGCAGCCCGTGACAGCGCCCACCATCTCACCTAATCCCCATCTTACACATGAGGAAACGAGCTGAGAAAAGTTAAGTAACTTGGGCAAAGTCACACAGCATCAGAAAGAGGCCTGAATCCAGGTCAGCCTGATCCTGTACTCTGTGGCCTTCCTCCTACACCAGGCAGCTCAGCTGACCCTCCACACCCGCCTGCTGACCCGAGTTCCTTGCACACTGGGCTGGGTGCTGCAGGAAGGACAGTAAAGGAGCCGAGAGCCGTCCTGCCTCCCAGGCCCTCTGCGTTCTGGAAGCAGAGGGTCGACAAGGCAGAGACACAGGAGCCATACCTCCTTGTGTTGCCACCCCACCAGCTGTGAGACTTTGCACACGTCTCTGGATCTTTCCACTCTTGCTTTCTTCATTTGTAAAACTGGGATAACCACACTCCTCTCAAAGCGTTTTTGGAATTGATGAAAAACCCAGACAAACGATATAGCCCACTCCACGGGCCATTTAAGAAAGGTAAGTGGCCCACTCCGCTGGGCTTGGTGTCTTTGCCTAAAGCCCCCCGTGCCCTGGGAGCACTGAGGGCACCTCTGTCTTGCCTTTGCAGCTGCCCAGCTTCATCAACACCACCCTCCCGCCGCACGAGCAGGTGACAGCACAGGAGATCGATAGCTACTTCCGCCACGAGCTCATCTACAAGAGGAATGAGCGGATGGGGAAGAGGGTCATGGCTCTTCTGCAGGAGAACGAAGACAAGATCTGCTTCTTTGCCTTCGGAGCAGGTTGGGCCGGAGTGGGGAAGGGATTATTTGCAGAATCTTTAAGGGCTGGGAGATTTGTTAGACCCTCTCCTGACCTCCCCTTCCTAAAGGAAAACGTGGAGGTCCGGAATGGAGCAGGAGAAGCCACGCCCCACACTTCTCTTGTTTCTCGCCAGGGGTTCTTCCGTAATAGGCCCCATGGGCAAGAGGGGTGACCCTGCCAGGGCCAGGACAGCTTCTAGGGCCCCTTCATGCCCCAGGAGGCCGTGCTGAGAGCCCAGAACAGAAGCTGGCTCCCACGGCCAGCCCAGCCTCGAGCCCACCCAGAAGAGCCAGGGCCAAGCGTAGGAGCGCCACGGGGCCTGGTGGGGAGAGGCGGGCTCCAGCACCCCACGGCCCGGTCCAGCCCCCTCTGGGCTGTGTGACCTTGGCACGGTACCATCAAGGGCGCAGGCCCCTCTTCTATGAATGGACAGTGACAGCAATGACTAGCTGATGAATTGAAAATCTCTATCGTGTGGAAGAGTTATAAAGATTAGCAGTAACACTTCAATAACCTAATAGCAGGAACTCAGAATGGCAGCTAGCTTCACTGTCATCCCAAGCATCAGGACGGTTAATACACGCTTTGTCATCCCACCGTGGGCCATGAGCTTAATGCTTCTCCTGGGGGGCTCTGGCCTCTCTGGGCAAAGGGAAGTCCGGATGTCCAGGTGCAAGGCTTGCTGCCCCCACCCCACCCCCGTCTCCTCTTCCCTCTTCCCCCTCACTCCTTCCTTTCCCTGTGGCTGTCTCCCGTGATGATGGGACCAGGGGATGGCATTTGCCTCCTTTATCAGCCAGCTCTGGCTCCAGAGCCACAGAATAGAAATGTATGTCTTGCTCATGTGGGCTCAGTCCACCCCCTGAGGCATGACAATGAAGGGAGAGGGACCACCCCTGGGCGGGGGGGGGTGGGAGCACTCACGGCCACTGCCTCTCCGCCCTCCTTCCATGGCCCCTGGCCTGCGCACCACCTGCCCACTCAGGTCCCTGTAGCCCGGGCCAGTCCTGATTCTGCAGTGGGGTGTGTCTGCTGTGGGAGGTCTGCCTCCCCCGCCCCGCCATTCAACCCCATACACGTCAAGGGGAGGGCCAGGGTCCTCTGACTGTGCCTGTCTTCCCGCCTCTGTGGCCCTCAGCGTGGGGGCGGCTGGTGGGACAGCGCCTGTGAGCCACCCCTGCAGCTGGACAGAACGAGTCCCGGCTTGCGTTGGAGCACGACCATGGCCTGTGGTGGCCTGTGGCCGACCCCTTCCCCTCTGACAGCCTGAGTTCACGCATCTGAACAGAAGGATTCAGAAAGCACAGGGGCCGCTGGTGGCTCCAGGAGCTATTCCAACAGTTTTCAGAGAAAAGAGGGATTCCCATTGGAGTATCTGGAGAAGCCAGCAGGAGCAGGACCTTGACCAACCACGTGGAGAGGGCAAGGCTACCCTCCAGGTGCAGGATACCTACTAGGGACCTGGCATGAGTCAGGACAGCTTTGGGGACGGTGAGGGGTAGAAGTGCTCCCCAACACACCCTCTCACCATCCAGCTGCCTCCCTACTCCTCCCTCCGTGGGCATCTAGGCAGTGCTCCTGCTCCGGAATGGTCCCCCACTGACTACAAAAGGGGAGCCATTCTGAGCGGAGCCAGCCTCCCGGTGAGCGTGATCCCTGAGGGAGGCCAGTAAGAGCTCCAGCATTCCACATGGCCCCCCTGAGTGGGAGGGCCGCCTGCCCCAGTGGTCCCAGGGCCCGAGACCAGAGCCACCCAGGGTCTGAGCCTAGCTCTTTCCTGTGGGTGAGGGAATGAGGGAGCCTGGAGATGAACTTCACAGCAGTGCGGGCGGCCCTGGGCACTGGCCTGCTTCTCCTGAAACCCAAGTCCGTGGAGACACAAATGCCCACTCAGGCACTCGACCAGCACGCAAGCACCACGCCCATCTCCAGTTTCCTCCCCATCTCTGCAACCCAGCAGGTCCCTGGTTGGTCCTGTTGACAGACTGCCGGAAAGACTCACATCCGTCTACTCTGTCCATCCCCATCGCCACCGTCCCAGGCCAAGCCTCCATCAGCTCCAGCCTCCGGGCTCCAGCTCAGCCTCCCCGCCTCCAGCCTGCCCTCCCCGCCCCCACCACAGCAGAGCCGCTGGTTGCCACTGGCTCTGGCCCCCACCCCCGCCTTGAGCTCCCGGAGGGCCTGCACCACGTGGCCATCTGTGTTTTTAGTAGCGTGTAACAGGTTTCAAGCTTGATGAGTGTATGAAAGAATGAATGAGTGAAGGCATGCACACATGAACCAACGCATGTTGACGGGCTCCTCCCCTCCTGGTCTAGTTGGGCCTGGTGGACATGACAGTGGTACAGTCAGGGCAACTCGAGCCCCACCTTGGCTCTCAGAGGCCTGCTGTCCAATAATAAGCCCAGAGCCACGTGCAGATCTTGCTGGAAGCTGCCGCTGGAGGCTCAGCCCCTCCTGAAACAATGTTCTGAGAATTTCAAAGCTGGCTGCAGCCTCTAAGCTCAAGCCTGCCCGCCTCATCAGAGCCCCGGACAGACTGACGGCCCAATAGGCCAAGATCTGGGTGAAGCTCATGGCAAGTCAGGGAGAGAGCCAGGGCTGGAGCCCTGCGCCCAGGAGCTATGATCCAGGGGCTCTGTTCTTATGTGCCGTCAGGGAGCCCGCTGCACAGACCTGTTTTGGTGTGGAACATGTCCACACACGATCTGTAGCGAGAGAAGTCCACGGCCACCTCACTGCCTTCTTATGGCCAAGTAACGCCCGAGCCCCACATCCTATGGCAGGCTGAAGATTGATGTGCAAGGCGGACACAAGCACCCTTGGGCAGCATGCAACCTGCAGACGGCCTGCAGACACACCAGTCCACTCTATACGCCGCTGTCTGGGTGCCTCTGCAGTCCCATCTCAGGCCTTCCTCGGCCCACCTCTGCTCCAGCATCCCTTTCTGGGAGGCCCCGGGCACAGACTGGGGTCTCCATTGCCGAGGGGCAATCGGCCGCCCCTTCTCCCTTCTGCTCTATGGAGACATTCGGTACAAAGAGTAAGAGGTTTGGTGTCAGGATGCTTGGGTGTAAAGTGGGGTTCTACCACTGTCAGCTTAGAGACACCAGGAAAGCCATGTCACCTCTATGGGCCTCAGTCTCTCATCTGCAAAACAGGGATAATATACCTGCCTTGTCAGATTGTGCTAAATATGGACATTTTATATCACAGGGTTGAAATTCTCTACTGCAGTGGAGGGATCTTTATAATAAAAACTCCTACTGTGTGCCAGCCACCACTCCAGGCTCTGAGATTATATTACCTTTGATCTTCACAGTAACACCATGAGATGGGCTTTATTATACTCATTCTGCAGATGAAAGCTAAGTCCCAGAGAGGAAGAATGGCTTCCTCAAGGCCACGCAGGCAGACCTTCAACTTGAACCCTGGCTTCTAGAGTCCCAGTCCCAAGCGTTTCCTCCATACGTGGTGCCCTTGCTCTAGAATTCCAGAACTGTGGATGGTTCTGTGGGAAGGGTATCCTTTTATCTGGCACATCCCACAGAAGAGTAGTCTCCTTGGTGTCAGTGATGTTTCTGCGGCGAGACACTATTTGACCTCTTGTGGAGCTTATTCAGTGGCAACTGGTGTGTGACTGTGTGTGACAATTCTGAGCTGGCCTGGGTGACATCTAGGGGCCCAGACGGAAGCCCTGCCTCTCCAGGAGGTGGCTGTGGCCAGTGTGCAAACCCAGATGTTCTGGAATGACCTAGGCCACTGTCATGGGGAAGAGTGCCAGCCCAAGGGGAGGGAAGACCTGATTCTCGACTATCAGGCTCAAGGACAAGCTGATCCTGCAGGGCCCCCACAGATCTCGTGCAGGTTCTTGGATTTCTTGGGTTTCTTCTGCTCTTACAAATAACTTAGAAAAATAGGTACTAGGTGGTGAGTTTTTATTAACTAAATTTATTCAATTTACAGGCTTATCTAATATTCTGAAATTATCTCCTTTCTACCATGTTCGAAGTTAAACATCTTTTGCTTTAAAACAAATAAACAAAAAAAAAAAAAATGGTGATATAAGGCAAAGGGAGCTTTCAGAGCCCTTACTTGGCCAAAGTAAAAGCTGGTAACTATATCGTTCCCCCTACCCACCCCGCTTTTCTTACGGCGGGACAGAATTGAGCACGCCTGAAACATGATGGAAAGAATGTCTTAGGAGGGGTGAGGCTGCTCAGTGGGGAAAATTACTAGCCCAGGCTTCTGAAAAGGAAGGAAGCGGCGGGGGGTGGGGGGGTAACCAGAGCTCAGGTCGAGGGTCTGGCCGTGGGTAGAGAAGGGCACTTCTTCACCTGTAATTGAAGGAGGGAGAAGGCCAGCAGAGGGGTGATTTGCTAGTGGAAAAGTCACCTGGTGGCTTTCTAATCAGAGCTCCTCTCTAGGGAGGGTAAAGTCATCTGCGGCAAAAGAGGAGGCAAGTGGAGCGTTCTTGGTTTAAAGAGAGACCATTTGGCCTAAATGCAAGCGAGACTGGCTATAAGAACTGGCATGGACAGCAAGTTAGACAGGTCTCATCTCATGGGCCAACTGTGATTGGTGGGTAGTGGCTGCCTGGAGCCTGGTGGTGTGAGGGGTGACAAAACCACATCGGGGCTCAGCAGAGAAGAGGTTCCAGTTGATTAGGGATGCCTACCGTGGCTCCAGAGGAGGGCACATGTCTGCCACCTCTCTGCTCTGACCGCTAGCAGCACAGACCCCTGACTGGCAATGAGAGCCCACGAACCTGTGAGGGGCTCCAGTCACAGGCTGCAAAATTTTCTACAGCAACACTGAACAGCTAGGGTATAAATGTAAATGCTGTCCCCTGGGCCTTCTCCTGACTTGATGCTAGCACCCACTGCTCACTGAGCATCCCACTGTGTGGGTGCTACCCCAGGGCAGGACCCATAGCTTCTCAAAATCGCCAACGCCTAGGAGATGTTCTACAAAGGCA